TAGATGCTATTTTAAATCAATAAACATTACAATTTGAGTGTTATAGCTCTTTTGATGTGTTTTCCAGATTAGAACTTTTTTTTCCAGATACTAAAATTCAGTTTGCATTTATATCTTAGTAATATAGATACAATTTACTTTTATGCCTAGTCTATAATTTTATAAATTTCAAACATTTATTATAATCATGAATATATTTTCATATTTGTACATTTTAATGTTGTTCCTATTTTCTTCTTGAAGTTTTAATCATTCAATTTTGTGGTGACTATTTTTCCTTCAATAGTTTTCTAGACTTAATAGATTTAATATAGTCTTGAATTATTATAATATATTTAAATATTTTATCACTATTAGAACTAAGTAAGATTCAGTAACTTGGTATTTTTCCTCAAGCATATCTCTATATGTTTATATTATAAAATTCTCATTTGCATATTTTAAAAGTTCTGTATTAATAGGGTCACATTCATTTAGATATTTTCTTTGATATATTTCTAAGGGAGTTTAGATTTTTGTCTTGTGTTTTTCTTCTGACTTTTTATTTTGTCAGTCATGGGGCCTGAACTCTGGGCCTGGGCACCCTCCCTGAGCTCTTCAGCTCAAGGCTAGCACTCTACCACTTGAGCCACAGTGCCACTTCCAGCTTTTTCTGATTATGTGGTGCTGAGGAATCGAACCCAGCGCCTCATGCATGCAAGACAAGACTCTACCAGTGAGCCACCTTCCCAGCCCTTCTGACTTTCATTCATGTGCACAATTCCCTTACAGATACCGGAAACTGAGTTATTCCTATTGGTGTGTGTGTGGTGTGTGGTATAGTATATGATATGTGTGTGTGTGTGTGTGTGTGTGTGTGTGTAATGATTTGGGTACAATACACTTGTGCCTTCAGACCTCAGAACATTAGCTTTTCTTTAATCACTGCACTATTTTCTTCCCCAAAACATACGGCTCCTGTTATCTACCTTCTGGATGAACCACAGGAGCTAGACTTGGACAGCCAGAATCCACAGAAAATTTATTACTATTAAGTTCAAACCCATGGAATCATCTCTCCCATTCTTTGATTTTCATATTTATGCTAGAATTTTAACACACACACATGTTTATATATATATATATATATATTCCAAACTTGCAGTCCTAGATGTTTGACTTTCCAAAGCCATTCCCACTTATGGTTAAACATTTCAACTTTTATAGGCTTCCTCTTTCTAGAAACTGTTTTCCAAACTGTATAAAACACTACAGATGTGCCCAACATAATAAAAAGTGAAATGAATTTTATCTTTTCAGAAAAGAAAATACTCCTGTTCTTCAGTCTATCATCATATTATTATTTAGATTAGTGCCAAGTCTTCTTTCCATAATAACAAATGAGATATTAAATATCAGATGATTATAGAAATTAAAAAGAAAAAGATAGAGAAAAGAAAATGATGATAACACTTCATACAATCTCAGTAAAACATGGGAAATACTACAGGATTCAAGAATTCTGCCATGAATTTAAGAACAACCTTTGGTTGCAAGTTAGTACTAGTTAACTTCTGGTTTATACTAAAACTGTAGTATAGTTCACTTTAGCTTATATTAAAATTGTGTTCAAATGAAATTGTTTCATATTTTCTTTTATGTAAATAGCCGCAAGATAAATCTACTAAGTCCAGTTATCATTGATTTTTATTGATTTCTGCTTGATAATTAATTCAAGTTTACTTATATGATCCACCTCATTTTCTGCCAAGTGCAGATCCACAATTTTGGCCTTTTTTGTGGTCCTGAACAAAAATTGCCCCAGGGATGAAGCAAAGATTCCTTTTCTCTGTTCAAGAATGATTTATACTTGCTTTTACTCAATATCTGTGATATATAGTTACTCTTTCAAAAATTTCAGCAAACAATTTCACTCAATAATAACCAAATACCTTATGGCATAATCTGCATACTCCTTTTAAATGGCTCTCCAATATTGACACTAGAAGGAACCCGAGGCCCAGTTATATGAAAATGGAGAAAAATAGCATCTGGTCTGTTCAGCCTTGTTGAATAAAAGTATACAAATTGGCAACTGTGGACTCACTCTATAAACATATTAATTCTCTGTGCCACGTTTTCTTTTGAAAAACTGGATATTATTATTATGGGTGAAAATAAGGTATACATGGGATCCTATCAGTTCCCACAGCTACCTTGCCTGTTAATCTCCCATAACAACTGGACGAGCACTCCTATCTGAAAGCATGGAAAAATATTTTTAAGAAGGTGGACATAGGAACATCTAGGAAACATTAGTAGCTGCAACAATGTGGTTGCGTGGCCTGTGCAAGGAATAGCAGAAGGCAAAGAAAGGCAAGAGTTAACTTAGCTGGCAGAGGCAGACTTTGGAGAGTGGATGATTGAACTGAATGAAGTGTTCTTTAACAGGTCAGGGGAGAAAGAGTATTATAGAAAGGAGGAGCAGAGGAGAGGAGGAAGGAATTAAAACATAAACTTTCATGATGAATGGGAATTTTGGAGACTCTTAAACACTGAACTTAGACAACATAGAGAAAAAATTGGAGAAAGTGGCAGGAGCTAGAACATATATATATAATGTGTTGAAGGTTTTAGACTTGATTTCCCCACACAGAGGATCGCAGGTTTGCGTGGTTTTGTTGCATGAAGCTAAAAATGGTATTTTTTTTATAGCAGTATTGAGCATTGAACCCTTCAAGCCAGGGATTTTTTGCATGCTATGGAATTGTTCTGTCACTTTAACCATGTCCACAGCCATTTTGTTTATATATTGTTTATGAGATAGAACCTCACTATCTTTTTATCCTGACTGGTTCCAACTGGATTCTTATTCTGTTGTCTCTTGAGTAGCTGTGATTACAGATATGAACCACTATGCTTAGCTATTTTTACATTTTTACTAAAGACTAATACTGAAACTTTCTGGATTGTGTATTCACTCTAGATATAAAGCCTCTAATTTATGCCCTTGGGCTCCCCTAAATATAATTCAAGCTTGCTATTGCCTTTTTAGGTGTTGAGTTACCCCACCAGCCCTAACCTGTCTCTTCAATGAACATTCATGGTAGATTATAGTTATAAAGATTACAAATCAAATTTGTTAAAGAATTTCCACTAAAACTTAGTATAAAGATTATTGCAAATTATGTTAAATAACTCACCTCATAGATATTCAAATACTATTTTCAGTATTTGAAAAATACATTCAAATTCACAGCAAGAATTTATTATTTATACGATTTTAAAAACATAATATAAGTATAATATAATTTGGACAATGATAAGGATTTGTAAAATATACTAATGAACATGTACAAAGGTTTTGAATATTCAAAGGGAATCACAGATCACAGCCACTCATATAATTTTAATTTATTATGTGTTAATATTCTTTTGAGGGAAAACAAGATCCTCCTAACTTAGACTAATACAATTACAGTTTGTACTTGAGTTTATAATAAATTTCTATTAAATGCTCACAACGTGTTAAGTATGTGGACTTCCCTTTAATTTTCAAAATGTCCCTTTAATTTTCTTCCAGTTTTTAACTTACAATCGACCCTCAGTAGAGCCTATACCTAAAGGATGCATAGACACACAGATATATACATACATACATATATACACAACACACACAAATTTCCACATATATACATAGACACACAGACACACAGATCCATGCACACACTTTTCTAGAATAGTGGAAATAGATAATAGTGTAATCGAAAATAGAAATAGATTGGCACCTGGGCAATTTTGTTTTACTTGTACTACAAGCCCCATGATGTGTATGCATGTGTGTGTGTGTGTGTGTGTGTGTGTGTGTGTGCCCACATGATTAAAATCTTTTTTAAAAAGAGGAGATTTGGTTTGGGGATCAATATTCATTACTCATGTTGAGAGTGAAAAGAAACATTGAGGTTTCAAAGAACATGTGCTATTTTTTAATAGAAAAAATAATATGTGCTTTCCTTTGGGACATCATGCTTAGCGAAACATCTTGTAATATTTGAAATGGCAAAACACTAGCTTTAAACAATTAGAAATACTATCCTATTATTAGTCTTCATCGTCCTTAAATCCTATCCTATTATTAATCTTTACTAGTTAACAGTGAGCTCTTCCAGAGGTTTATGATAAAGACAATTGAGTATTTGATGTTGGTATAATTTGCGGAGGGGAAGGGAAAAACAAATCATTTAAATAAGGATACAAGTGGACCCATTGCAACAATGAGATGTACAAATCGTTATGTCAAAAAAAAAAAACAAACACGAACTTTACAACTTTAGCAGGGGTGGGGGATGGGAAGGGATGGGAAAGGGAAACAAAGGAGGAAGCAACAATGCTTGATAAGAAATGTACTCATTACCTTGCCCATGTAATTGTAACCCCATCTGTACGGTATTTTCACAATAAAAAAGAGACAATTGATCTACTAAGTGTTTGTATGCAAAAACACAAAAATATTGCATCTAGAACCACAATTGCATTGTAACCCCCAGAGGCTTGCTTTTCCCGTAGAGTCATCTCTGAACCTGCTGGAGAGGACAAGGCTCTTGCAAAACAGAAGGGAAAAAGACAGTGGATAAAATAATAGCATCCTGAAAACAGATTTTGCACAAAAGTGTCACGTGGTAACTGTTGTCACCATCTACTAAACAGCTGAAAGGCATCTGCAAAGTCTGAAGACTTGAAAAAATAAAAATAAAAAGAATGCATTTATGTCAAATGTATTTACAAAAATCCATTCTGAGTTTCGTGAGAAATAAATCTGATTTCTCTCCCCCTGACCAAAATATGCATAATATGTGTTTTGGCTTACTGAATTCATCCTTCATGCAATCCCAGTTTATTAAAGAAGGGAGAAATTTATAAAACTCTGATGGAGTAGGGTTTGAGTGCTTCATCACACTACCCATCATTTGCTTTTCAGTCAAGATCAGAACACTTTTGCCTACTTTCGCGCAGTCACCTACCTGCACAGCTAATATTTTCTGAATACTCTCCAGAGATTCTTTCTGGAGGTGGGCCAGCCTCATCTGACTGTAGAGGACCATCAGTTTGAAATACTTCTGCCACTCCTTTTGTAGATTTCTCTGCAGCTGACAGAACTGGAGGCGAGAGGGAGGGGAAAAACACAAGTCAGAGTAGGAGAGGAAATTAATGGCAGTGTTCAAGAAGAATGATGGAGGGAAATACAGAAAGCAGTCAATGGCCCATTCTGCACTGTATGGACCTGACAGGAATTTCACAGTCTCTTGATTTTTCAGACCACTCATGTGCATTCATCAGAAACCAGTCACATCTGGCCGCCAGGATGGGGGGTTAATTTTCTCTAAATGCCTCAGCAGTTTCGTTCTAGCTGAGGCAAACTCTGTGACTGCCAAGCTGATGGCTAAAATATTTCTACTTCACCCAGTTTAACTCAAAACCGATAGCCTCGGGACATATTGAACCTTTCTTGGAAAAAATAATCTTTTGAAGCTTTTTTGAATGGCACATCAGGTCAAGCCAAAGTTTAAAAATGCAACTTTAAGACTTTGATAGACACCGTGACATCGGTAGCTTCTTTTCTTTTTTCTTTTTCTTTTTCCTCCCCTCCCCACCCCCTTCACAAAGCTCACCATTGCTTGGCAATGTGTGCATCAGAGCATGACAGGACTAAAGAGAATTAACTTAGCCATCAAATACAGAGGAAGAACAATAACAGGGAAGAAATTTCCAGCTTAGAACTCCCTATTAATCTACCTCCCCCTGACCGTGTGACATAGAAACATCTCACTGCTTTCAAGTACAGAAAATGCAGAGCTTAGATAGTGGTGTGCTTAATACAGGGATCTACATAGAGAAAGAAAGAAGTCTCCATATGGGGACCTGGTATGTTATGTGGAAGTTTAATAGGAAAACCAAACACTGGCAATTTTACCAAGACAATGTGCATTTGATTTGGAACAGTTAGCAGACCCACACTCCATTCGATTATTACAGTGATATGAGTTTTCAGAAGCATAGCTTTAATAAAATTAGCAGCGAAGACAATTTTTTTTAAAAAAAGGTTCTAATAATTACATATAACATATTCTGTCACCAAGAAACCCTTGGTTTTGACAGGATGTATATAGTTGTTTAGTATATATTTCAGAATGGAAAATTCCATGTAAAGCATCTATTCATAGTAGGGTTCAAAGATGCTAGGAAAAAACAATGGCTTTTTTTTGTTAGATGTTTAGTTCTGGGTTACATATATGGGGTACTTTGTGAAAATTCAATAGATGGTCCATGCATGGATTTGAGAAATCTTTTATAGATATATTTCAATAAAACAGTTTACCTATAAATAAACTTTTCTAAATTTGATGCTACCTGTGAATTGTTTATCATTATCATCCTCATTATGCATTGTAATAACCAGTAAGTATATATTTATGTTCAATTTACAGAAAAACAAAGCCTCTATTCTTGGTTATTTAGTTAATTTAGGACAAAAATACACATGGAAAAATTACATAGGTATTTCCACTTATTAAATACTGAACTATATTACCCAGAATATATTTATAGTATTTCAGAACATTTAATATAGTAAGTTAAACATTAGCATTGTTTTGGAAGAGAAATTCTGTCAAGGTTTTTTTCTCTAAAATTGTATAAAATAAACCAAGTCAGTCAGAGGAGGAAGCATGCTAAATCTTGAGACACTTGTTAAAACACCTGTAATTTAGCTAGGCATATTCACAAACCCATGAAGGGTCATATTAAAGCTGAACTTACTCTGCCAATAGAGGAGAAAGGTGTGAGGAAGAGGGTTATGTATAAACATATATTGCAAGAGTTATGCATATGATAACATTTGTAGAAGTAGCAAAAAAAACTGAAAAATAATACCTCATATTTTAACTGGATTACTGCATAAAACAGACTTAAAAATGAAACTGGAATGACAAGCACTAAAAGAAGGCCAGTGGCTAATTCTGAGGGACCAGGGGGTAATATTAGTCCCTTTCCCCCCCACCAAAAAAGACGTAAGGGGTTGAATGTTTCTACACTGGTTTAAACAAGGGAAGCAAACGTATCAGGTGCCTAGCTTAAAAGCTGACAGAGATCCAAGTAATGTATTGTGTGCTTCTTTACTTAGAATTTACATATACCCCAGCCTATTGCATGTTTGTGATACTAAAAAAAAACCAAAAATAAATTTCAGTTAACCTGACATATCTACAAAAAGGAATTATTCACATTGTGTGGCTTGAGACTTATTAATTTCAGAGAATTGATTATTATCTGTTTGTTTAGAGAATATCCCATTACATCTGACCATCTGCTAACATATAAACATGGCCTTTTGTTTGCAGAATAAGATCTGTATTATGTTTCCACTAAATGTTATCTTACCTACAAAAAATGCCCAAAATATTTAATGAGTTTATATTAATAAAGATAGAATTATTATTCCAAGCTGCTCCATAAATTGTCTAATTTTTAAATATTTATCTCCATTTCATTGGCACAACAGTAGCACGTTCATAACTGACTTCACAGGAAACAGGAGACTCACATAGATATTTTCATGAGGATTTGAATTCATTACTTTCAAAAGGCAACAATGGAGTTTAGATATTGGAAATATTTATGTAAAAAAGTATTTACTTTGTAAGCTTATGTATCTACTGTATGTTACTATGGTGAAATACTAATAAACTAATATGTTTTTCTTTAAAAAATTCTTTAAAAGTCTCTGCAATACAGCACATACATCTCATTGCAAACGTATTTTAGATAAAATTAAATCATTTTTAGAGACATATGGTGCCAAAAATTAACTCCCCAAAGCATATAATTTAACTGGATTTTGCAATTTAAGAACCCCAGAAAAGAGAAAGGGAACATTTCAAGGAAATGAGAAGTGTCCTTATAATGAATTTCAGCTTAGAAGAATCAGACATAACAACAGTCTTTTAATTAAAATACAAATACCATATGTACAGTTATCTGAAAAATGAACCATAAATTGTTTTGCCAGAAAACAAAGACCAGTCAATACAAAAAAAAACACAGAAGTCCCTAGAACTGAAAGCTCAGAGTAACTGACCAGACAGATAGCTTATGGTCAGCACTTAATGTTAATAATGAGAATAAGGTCAGGAGTTGACTACCAAAGATGTTCTAACTTTTGGATGAAAAACATATATATAACAACTGGATGTTTGCTGAAAATAACACAGAATTTAGTCTGGAAACAACATAAGAATCCTAGAGTTACAAAATGGAGACAGGAAATAGAATTAATACAAAAGACAACTCTCACGAGTACAATGCCTAAGACGTGAGGAACAATTTCTAACTCCTGAGTTGAAAATCAGGAGAGCACCCAGGATCTGGGAGCATTGAAAACAACTGTGTGGCATTACAAAAGTCTATTACATTTGTCTATGCGCACCAAAATATACACCCCCAATAGTGAGCCTTAACTAAGTGTAATAGTTCATCCACTGTAACAAACATACATCTATGATGTGTGATGCAGATAATTCAGCAGGCTGTGAATGTATAGTAGGCAAAGGGTAGCGTGAAAATGTGTCTTCTCAATTTTGCTGTGACGGCAAAATCTGCTGTTAAAAAATAAAGAAAAAAAGGAAGTCTACAACACAAAAATATCATTCCTCTAGCACAGGGGTGGGAATGGAAGTGTCTAGGCGGTGGTGATAATTTATGACAATTGTTAGAGCTCATAGAGTTTCTGCCACATGAAAATTAGAAAGTTCATCTGATGAAGCTTCTAGGAAGCCTGGGAAATTGGTAGGTGAGCAGCCTGTAGCCTAAGAGAAGAAGGAAGTACCACGGATAATGTTTCCTTTAGAAGAAAACTAGGGCGTTTCAGGTAATGCAATTCTAATTCTAGCTACAAAGACAAACAAAAGGTTCACCTGTAGAAGCAGCTGTAAGAGTTAATGTATTTAACAAAGAGAAAAAAAATCATGCTATCTCTGGCAGATTTTCATTTGTACTTCAAGTAATCCAATTAAAATCATATTTAAGGATTTGACAACATATGATCAAAGCCGCTTGGGAGAAAGCTTTTATTTTCCTATAAGAATAATTTTAGATAGGAGTTAGATAGATGGAAAGATACATAGATCGATGATAGAAAGCAGAAAGGCACACTTTCACTCATTCATTTGCACTAGAATATTAAAGTTTTAATTATAATTTGATTATAATTTTAACCTGCTTGTTATAAGGTTTTACATTCTGAAGTGTACTGTCTTCTTTAATCTCTGACAGAAAAATAAAACTGATAAGCAAAGATGTGCATGCAATTTTGATTCAACTGAGTGATATGCAGTGCAGCTCACAAGGCAAATAGCATAAGCCTTTATCAGTTCTTTTTTTTTTTAATAAACCAAACAATGGCAATTACAAACTACTCTACAGACTTTCTGCCAAGGAGAAATGACAGATACACAAAATCCAGTTAATACTGATCTTTTTATAGTACTCAGTTACCAAGTTACATATGCACGATATACAAATCTCACAAGTAATGAGATATTTCCTTATTACTGTCTGTTCCACAGACTGGTGTTAAAGATCACATAGCTCATTTCTAGAAATCTCCTTTGTCAGCTGCTTAGGTATACTTAAAACAAAATAAAACCCACATGCATTCCTAAATCTGGAGCTAATATCTATGGAAATTAATAAGAATCTATAATTTAAACTATATAAAAATAATAACTTGTAAAACTCCATATCTGAACCTCGGTTAATATTTAAAAAAAATCCCTGATAACATCACAAAAAGAAAACTGATCTTCAACAGATGCCATGAAGTCTTATACAGGATAGCTAACAATCAAGTTTATCCTTTCATATAATCTCACAAACATATTAATTTTGCATACTTTATAAAATAACATGACATCAAACGTATAGGTGATATAACATTTTTTACTTGTTCAATAGCATTAACAAGCTACACAAGCCACAGCTTTCTTGGTTTCTTTGAAATACCTGGTTTCAGAATAAGGTAACTGCATTTTGATGGCTATTTGATCAAAATAGGTGAAATAAATGTGTTTACTTTTATTTTTTAATTCCACTTTCAAATTTA